ATCTATGTTACAAATGATGAGTATGATAAAAGTTATATATGAATGGGTTGAGAAATTTGAAATGTATATGTGATATATATGTTGAGTGTGGGCATGATCATGTTAGGGGGTGGGAGTTCGCCCGCAGGACGGAGTAGTGGAAGTCCATATGGCATGTATCTCCTTAGTGTCTAGTGAGGCACGGTGTTAGAGATTTTCTCCTTAATATCTATGTGGGATGTGACGTTAAAGAATGACACTCCTTAACATCAATGATGCGGTGTTAGAGTAACAACACCCCTATTTGTGTGTGATAGGGGGAAATCATAGTCAGGAAGTGTGATAGGACACCTTTGGATCATAGTCAGGAAGTGTGATAGGACACCTTTGGCCGGGTTATCCTACCACTAAAGGTGAGCTCAAACCATTGTGAACGTGCACTTGGTTCAAGAGCCTATAATTTTAGTCAGGGTAATTTGGAGGCTCAGATGGTAGAATAATCATGCTAGTAGTAAAAGATTTGTATTGATGAAAAGAGTATGTGGTGATCTGCTAAAAGTATATTTTTAGAGTTTTATAGTTTTACTCTTTTATAGTTGTGCATGTTAATTAATGATAGTAAATTATTCTGTTACTGATATGTTTATCTCACCCTGTGATTATATTTTACAGGTAAGGGCTCTAATAGGGGCAAGGGGAAGGAAGGAGTGTTTGAAGAGTGAATAGCATAGTTGTATAGCTCTTCCTTTTCCTCTTTTTGGGTATTGTAATGAATATTGTCAATATATAATACCAACTTAAGAACACAACATTATTTTAGATATCACTTGTATGGATGTCTTATAAGTTTGCGTATCTTGGTCCAAGGTTAATGTGGTGGATTATATGTGTGTGTTGGGCCAAGTTACAATTACAAGTGATGAATTTGAAGTGAATTATGTGCCTAAAATGACCAACTTGATGGGTGTGCTAAATACAATCCACCCTTTTGTGTTATTATCAAATGGGGGTTTGGTGGTCATTTTGAACATGATTGCTTATTTGTATGACATGAATGAATTGTCATGTTATGTGTGGTCCATTTGAGGTGGTCAAAATGTCTCTAGAGCTAATGGCATTTGGTATTATGAGTTGGACACTATTGTGTGTATTTTGAGGTGAAAACAAACCATTTTGGGTTCAAATGTTCATCTTTTAAATGGATAAGTATTTGAGTGTGAGACTGGTGCCATTAGTTAGAAGGCTCAAAGAACTTCATGTGTACACTTGAACTGCTCAAATCAAACATCAGATGGTAAAACGGCGAGTTCTGAAAATTCAAAAGGTTGTCATGATAGTAAGTACACGCCCCAACATATGGTTATTGCGCTGCAATGCAAGGGACCTTCAAGGGACTCGTCCCTCTATGCCATCCGCCGCGGCGGACGGGCCAGATAAATGCAAAACTCGTTTCAACATGTTTTGAAGTGATTTGATTTTTATACTTCCGTATTTGCTCTTAATTGATTTTTTATCACGGTTTGAGCTCAAACAAAAATATTTTTAAAAGAAAAATATTTTTTTGGGATCCCATTGTTTTAAAACTAATTATCTTTTAAACTCTTGAGTTGTGGCAACTTCTTTATGAGATTTTATTTAATCCTAGTTATCACAATGATGTGTAAGTGTTATCCTGATAATGTCAAAACGAACATTACACTAACGACATCATAAGGATTTAAGAATGGGAAAATCTATGGTCTGAGAGCGAATATAATAATTTTGGCCTAGTAGCTCTTCACAATTAATGAGCCTAAATTAGTCCATTCACACAAATGGAGCCCTATTCGATTTAGTAGCCCACATATTCAATCAAAGGTATTAAAAGGATATAAGGGAGGTTATTGATCATACATCTCATTGAATATGGTAATTTGAATGTTGAATATGTAACAAAATGTTTTATCTTGCCTACTTTGCATGTCTATAAGTAGTTAACTTGCATGTACATGACTTAAAATACTTTAGTTACTGAATGGTTGTACTCACCTCTCATTTAACATTTTACAAGCATAGCTCCTGGCAGGACAAAAGGAAAGGACTTGAGGCTAAGAACTTGATTTCCCTATTGTACTACCTCATAATATTTTGATTTTATGCATAAATTTATTATGATATTGCCAACTAGATCATATTTTGTGATACTTACATCTTTGCATCTTTTTTGTGATTAATTCTATTTTGGGCCCTACGTTATATATTGTGTGAGATAGACTTGATGTATAGGGCCAAACTATTAGTGTATGTGTGTAGGGAATTAATGTGTTATTGTGGTTAATCATTTTGAGAAAGGATATTGAAACCTTCCCTTATTGATTATGTTGAATCTAGGGGTTGAGAGTTGAATTTGATATGCATGATATATTTGGTTAATATGATAAATTGTATAGGTTATCCTAAGTCCCTTAAATGTAGTCCAGGTGTTAGAATACATTTTTAGCACTTGGTAAGAGTTTTGGACACCCTGATTGTAAAAATGTGTGAAAATGTGATTAGTTTGAGTTTAAATGTTCAACTCTTTGATGTGAACAGATTTGGAAATGAAACTAGTGCCATTAACTAAAATACTAAAAAAGCTTTTTGTAAACACTTAAATCACATCAATTAGATATCAAATAGAGATTTGAGGTATGCCAGAAATTCAATCCGAGATCTGATTTTGACAAAAAGTGTTGTCTTAAACTGTGCAATGCATCATAGTGCATGGCACAAAGGAGAGTTTCATAGTGCATCCACCTTTAGTCGCAACTGACTGCTTGTTTTGTGGGAACTTGACACTTTTAATCTATTTTTCAAATGTTTCCGAGTGTAATTGGTATTGTATGCTTTCATATGCTTCTTAACTTTGATAAAATCTTGTTTTTGCCTTGATTAAGTGTATTTAATTTATAAAACTTGAGATCCCATCTTTGTTATGACTTTATATTAAATAGATTTTTGATTAATTGGGTTTTAAGAGTTAAACTCACTTGGTTTTGAACCATTCTACTATGATAGAATTTATTCCACCATACTAGGAAGCTTTTAAAATTATGAATGGATTAGTTTAAATAACTTAGCCATAATAGACCTTTAAATCAAGTATTTTTCTTTCTACTATGATTAGTTTTTTTTATAATTGCAATTAAACATTTTAACTATGACATGGTAATTGGTTAGGATTATTCCCTAGTTGTCATGGTTTGTTCGGTTAAATGCTAGGATAACAAGGGCAATTTTACAATTTCGATCTAATTCCTTTTAGGGCGCATTTTCTTTTCAATTAGGATTTCAAAAGACTTTTGAAATGAAATTTAGATATAGATATTGTTTGGTTTTTATTCTCCCTTAAGAAGCCCCGTTCAAAAAGCCCATTCCAGATAAATAGGGTGCGCAACGCAGTTAGAATCAAGTTGTATATTATAGACTAAACAATACTATTAATGTATATTGAACTATTTATATATTTTATCCAATATGTTAAATTTTATATTTTATATTTTTTTTTAAAATTTCAAATTTTATGTTGAAATTTGTATCACATATATTTTTCAACCATTTCTAATAAATTGTATTTGTATAACAAAAATTAAAAATAATAAAAATCAATGTTCATGTTGGCAATAATATATTCAAAAAAAATTTTTATTATATATAATCTAAATAATTTTCAGTTTACTAAATTAATTTTTTTAAAAAATATATCTAAATACAAATTTCATTACAACAACTTACTTTTATTAAATTAATTTTTATCATATGAACTTTTAATAAATTAACTTTTGACCAAGGGAAGACTAACAAAGGTTGGAAATTTGAAAATTCTTAGTCAAAATTTTCAATCTCTATTTCTTTTTTCATCTCATTTTAGAATTTTTTTTCTCTCACGTTTTTTGTGAAGCCTAAATTTTTATTAAAAAAATCACTCTAAACCAAGTCAATCTATAAATATCTTTATAAACATTTTAAGTTTGCAGGCGTGCTTAGTCTTAATGAGCTCTTAAAACTCAATTTACCTAAACTTTAGATTTGATTAAAAAAAATCACTCTAAACTTTAAAGCAAACGTGGCCAAGCGAATTCTTTTTTTAAAATTAGAGGAGCACACATTCACAAGATTATAAACATGATTAAAGCCATGCCCTCTCAGCTACGGAGAGAAAAACTTGCATGAAATTAAACTATTGGTTGAAAAGCAAAATTATCCAATAATTTTTTTTTCATGAGCACTCACTATCTTTAAGTAAATAAAGGTGTAAGAATATCTATAAACTTATTATAATAAATGCAACAATTCATATTTCATTAAATTTGACAAACGTCTATTTATGTTGACTGTTAAAAAATAAATAAAAAAAAGTAAACATAAGGTGCAAAGATATCTATAAATTTTTTTTTTTTTTACAAAAGCTTCTATTATCCTTAAGTCCATGATTGTCTATAAGTATTCATTAACTTTATAAAAGAGACTATATGATTAAGCCTGGCTCTAAAATTCAAGTTTTTGAGATTATATGGGCTTATCCAAGTATCAAAATTATTAAATATTGTTTTTTGGTCGATTTCATTTTTTATTTTAAAAAACTAAGATTTTTAATTTTTATCTAATTTTAATAATAATAATAATAATAATAATAATAATAATTTGAATTAAATCCATTCAAGTTTGAGTTTGGCACAAAATTCTTCATGCTAAACCCAAAATAAATAAATTTTTTAAATTCTCAAATCTAGTCTTTAGATTTTTCAAGCCACTATTAAACTTAACCCAAATCACCTTATCTTACTTTTTCCAATCTCTTTACTTCTTTTTTTTTTTATAATTAAAGTTAACCGATATCAACCAAATTTAATGGAGTAGAGACTGTTACATCCATTAAAACAAATTCATGGATTCTATTGCAATTACGGGCTATTTTCACCTTTTAAAAATGAACTTGAAGGTACACTCAACACTCTGAAGCTGTTTCGACTTTCCTTTATTAAAAAAAAAAAAAAACAGAGAGAGAGAGAGAGAGAGAGAGAGAGAGAGAGAGAGAGAGACCTAAGGCACAGTGCCTCCATCCTTGTCACTGTGATCCATAACTATCCGCAGTCTGTCTGTCAAACGGAACTGAGAAATCCTTGCAGTTTATTGCGACAGAGTGAGCCGAATTTTTCCTTGTCAATTGTCATTTACTTTGCTATTTACTTTCTTCACATCTTTCTCGTAGTTACTTGATCATAACCTTTTCGCTTTTCCTTTCACTGAATCGCGCATTCGTTTTCAGCTTGCATGTGATTTTTTTTTTTTTTGTTAAATTACTCGGCCATTGCAATTTCGAAGCATTCAATAGACAAAAAAAATCTTTTGATTTCATTCAATTCGAGAATTAAACGATGCACACCAAGTCTGATTCCGATGTCACTAGTTTCGATCCATCGTCTCCGAGATCTCCCAAGCGACCTGCGTACTACGTGCAAAGCCCCTCTAGGGATTCTCACGATGGCGACAAATCTTCCTCAATGCAACCAACTCCTGCTTGCAACAGTCCCACGGAGTCCCCTTTGCATCAATCTTATGGTCACCATTCCCGTGCCTCCTCTTCTAGTAGGATTTCCGGTACGTACAATTCTTCCTGGGGAAAGAAAGTGAATCGGAAACGGGACGATAAAGGGTGGCCTGAGTGCAAAGTGATCGAAGAAGAAGGGAATTATGATGGTTATTATCACGATAGTGTAGGATCGTTGAGAAGGATTCAAGCTTCACTTGCTGTGCTAGGGTTTGTTGTGATCTTCTCTGTGTTCTGTCTCATCATCTGGGGAGTTAGCAGGCCTTACAAGCCTCAGCTGAGTGTCAAGGTACGGGCATGGGGGACGCTTCACCAACTCTTATTTAATTGGGATAATATAATTTTTTTATTTTGTTAAGCTGACGGACAGATCTTTTCATGATTTTTATATGTAGCCACTGCGAATGTTGTTGAGGGGAATATTCTTTCCTTGATGGATGAGAGGGGCTCATGACTCCCTTAGATTCAGGACTGACATATATATAAAAAATGAAATTTTATTCATGCCCTCATGTGGAGTGAGAAAGGATCGGTCTCTAGATTTAATTGATGATCTCTGCTTACATGTGAGTGATAAATTCAAATGAATAGTGAGAAACTTGGATAGTTTTATCTTTGTTGTTTATTATTATTTTGTCTGAGGTTGCAAAGATGAGGACTGGGTGGTTTTATTTGGGTACTGGGAACTCACATATAGCTTTGATAGAGTTACAGAACAACTCAAACTACTGGGAATTCCATTTACGGACAAATTTTTAAAATGTCAATTGTACTTCCAATTCCTATCTATCCCTTCTTAATGTTTGAATTCCTTTTCTCTGTTCTTATATATATATATATATATAAAGAAATACTTGGGGATCTAATGGAAATGATTCACTTCTTCCAGAGTTTGACAGTACATAGCTTCTACTTAGGAGAAGGATCAGATTCTACAGGAGTTCCAACCAAGATGCTGACAACGAACTGCTCAGTGAAAATGAGCGTATATAACCCGGCAACATTTTTTGGCATTCACGTAAGCTCCAAGGCAGTGAATCTCATGTACTCTGAGATTGCAGTTGCAACTGGTGAGGTGAGATTTTTAACAGTGACCATAACTTTTCAATCTAGAAAGTTTGGCTTGACTAAAATGAAAAACAAAAGAGAATTTTTGCATATTGATTACCACTACTCTGTAATTCAATGCTCATATTCATTTTGCCGCAGTTGAAGAAATCCTATCAGGGAAGAAAAACCCACAATACAGTGTCTGTCAACCTACAGAGAAGCAGGGTTCCTATGTATGGTGCTGGAGCAAGCTTAGCTGCTTCAATTGACAACGGAGGAGTTCCAGTGAAGCTAGATTTCAATGTTAAGTCGAGAGGTAATGTCGTCGGGAAGTTGGTGAGGTCAAAACATCAAAAGCATGTCACTTGTTTGTTTACCATCACTCCTCACAGCAACAAACCCATAAAACCTAAAGAGAATGCTTGTACTTATGACTGATGGTCTAGCTGCAACCTGGTAGCTATTTCAAGTCATTCAGCGAGCTTGAAATTAACTGCTAGACGGGAGAAAGATTTACTAGGAAATGGTTGTTATTTAAGACTTGCGATCTTATTATAGAAGCTTTAGTAGTGTCGCTTTTTAATGGGAAATGGGATGGATAAAATCTTGAAGGGGATAATTAGTCCTTCATTGACCTTTCTCTTGCACCTTGGAATAAGCTGCCCTGTTTTTTAAGCTGCTATTTCTAGCAACATAGATATGTTTGTTGTGTAATGTTTCTAGACATGTTTATGTTTGTTTTTTGGGTTATGGTCAGCGGATATATAAATATTAAATTAATTCATACTGTTTTTTAATGGGATTCCTTTTCATTAGGTTCTTGGGTCTGTCATCATATATCTGAGAATGATTTGTTTCCTACTGTATCTTTTGGGCCTCAGGATTGGGGGCTTTAACAAAACACTTTCCCATGTATGACTAAATTTGTGTCACAGAGTCAAAGTTTGAGTTTTTTTTTTTTCTTCCTTGGACACAATTGCGTGCTCTTGCGATCTCAAATTATTTGGCTTGTTAATAAAATTCAATCACGATACTTTATAATTTTTTTCAAAACAAAATTATAAATCTTTAAAAATATCTTTATATACTTAATCATTACACTATAATATTATTTCAATTTTATTTTCATTTGAAGGATGATAGTGAAAAATATAATTAATAAAACTTTCATTTTCTCAAATTATTTTATATTTTTGGATAATAATTTTTTTAAAGTTAACTTATAAATTAAGATAGAGAGCAAAACACATCTCCAGTGCGAACAAAAATATTGTCAAGCTGAAATCAATTACTGGCCAGTCGCCAGTGGCCACCTTCATTCCTGAGCATTCTCTTGCCAAGTCAAACCCAATTTTAAGCAGTATATCTGCAACCTACTGTGCTATCATATTTTGCAAAACTCAAGGCAATGTTTGCTAAACGAAAAAGTATTTTAAAAAAAAATGAGAAATACATCTGCGAAGAAAATAAGATATATACATTTCTCTTTTCTTTTTTGGAAAAAAAAAAATATTTTTCTGCCTAACAAACAGTAAAACTGCATAATGTTAAAGAAAAAGTCGAACATAGTCATTAGGAGAAATGTACTAACCACCTCTGTGCCTAAAATTCTGTGTCTATAGAATATTACATGAACCAAGAAGGGCCACCAAAAATTGCCCGAGTGTCCTATTCCTTTTACAGAATCAATGAATAATGGGAATGCAACAACATTGGCTAAAATTATCTTACAGTTCACAGAGAAGCATCCCTTTAAATTGTTGGGATGAGATGAAGAAATTCTATTGCGAAGCTAGACTAGTCCCCTGGTTATTTTCAACAGGGCAACTCTCTTCAGAAACTGTGCTGCCAATCCTATTTGGTGGCCAATACCGAAAAACTGATCTTCCTATGATGTTCTTGGCTGGCAGAGGACCCCTGAATAATCATATTCATGACGTGGCATCAAGATATTGTAGCAAAATCCAGGATGTTTAAAATGATGAATCTGAGATTTTGAATTTGAAACGCATACCACACATGCGAATCATAGCTGTTATTACGATTGTCTCCCATCACAAAAACATAGTTCTCCGGCACACGCTTCAAAACAAGATATTATTAGACTAAATGGGTTATCAATATATCATTTGCTATTAATTAAGATTCTGAAACTAATCCTAACCCTTTAGCCTAATCTTCTCAAGAAGGATTGAGGAAAATGTTGTCAACCCCATGAAACTACAAATCCCCACTTCTTTCTTTCCTAATATTTGCTGCAGGTCATGCCCTGTCCCAAATTCAACTAGGCCGTGACAATTATCAAAAGGCCAAATGACATGGCCTGAAATGGTTACCCTGAGTTATCTTAGCCTTCATTTCTTGGAGTTTATATATTGTAATCTATACCTTAATATGTAATACAGTCATGTAAAAATTGGGTATTAGATTTATGAACTTCCTTCAAGGACCACATCTGAGAGGAGGAGGAGGAGAATAGAGGTACAGTGCAAACAGGAAACACTTACTGTAGGTGTCATGTTATAAGAAGGTGGTTCAAGGACGAACTTTTCATTCCTTTCAACCCCATTAACTATAAGATGCCCTTTACGAACCTGAAATCATAAGATTGCTCTCGTTTAAGAGACCAAAGAACTAAATCAAACACAGAAAACTAAAGCAACAAGAGAGATGTGAAAGCGTCAGTGACTGGGGAAAAGTGGGCAGCCCTCAACACAATCATCCAATTCATTCAATAGACAGGCATGGCTCATTACTCAGTAGCTACAGCAACTTTGGAGCCTTAGTGAAAAAGCTTGTCAAACAACAATATGCCAATTCTGCATATGTACCCATACGAAATAGATTTATTCAGAGTTTTGAACCAAAAACAAGATTTGCAATTCGTTTTGTTGTTACTTGTGAATTTTGGCAAGTGTGTGTAATAGTTATCCACAGTGCAAGACAATAACAAAAGCACAAGTTGTAATGTAACTGTAATGTAAGGACCAGAATTTTTTTCTTTCTTTTCCTTGGAAGTAGTGTTAGCTATTGGATCGAGACTACTGTACAGATTGAGAAACATCAGTATTTTAGAAGAGGTTTTCCAGATTTTTGCCAAACTCTTTTGTAGAATAAAAGGTGTTTTTGAAAGTATGGTATGAATTTTGAATTTCCTCTGGTCTCTGTTGAGGTTTAGTTAAAATAGGTTTGCTAGACTAAGTTGACTTGGTTTATTTCCCAGAGGTTTTACAATTGTCATTGCTATCAGGAAATGGAACAATTTAGAGTTACAACTCTGACCCAGAATTTTAACAAGGACGAGAGAAAAACGACATATGAAATGTGGGTATCAAAAATCCTACCTCCACAATATCACCTTCCTTTGCAACCACTCGTTTTATGAAGACATCATCATCGGTGTACCCAACTTCCTGAAGGACTGGTGGGCTTTTAAATATTACTATGTCGTTCGTGCAAGGCTTTCTAAAATAGTATGAAACCTGAAACAATGAATATATATCTTCTAAATGAACATATCTCAACAGAAAGGCTAGTTGGATGGTGAAATCAAAGTCAGAATTGAGACTTTTCTGGTTTTATAGAGCTAGCGTTACTCTAAAATAAATGTAATGCAAACTTCTGGAAGTAAAAACTAAAATCACTATTAACTACAAAGGTGGATCTGGAAGTTGAAATCTTCACATATGCCTATCACTCAAGTCAAGAACGCAGTCTCAGATACTCACTAAAACATAGAATACTTAAACAACAACAACTCTTATCCCACCTAGTGAGATCAGTTATATGGATTGCACAATAATACTGTGCTCTCAACAACCAAGCCTTTGGATATATTGTTAAAAGATCTGGTTCAACATGTTCCCTCTAATTAAACAGAATACTTAAACACTCCAAGAAAATGATAGGCTATTACTATCTTCAAAATCAACTATGTTCCGCCTGCCTTCAGCCTCACCTACTAAGGTTACTCACCAACTTGGGTTCTTTTTCATTGTCAAATCTAACAAAGCTTTATTATCAAAATAGTTCTTCCTCAAATGTGTACTCAAATTTAACCTTAGGATAGAAACAACACTAACCTATTTATTTATATGTTTATCAAACCCACATGAAAATCAAAGAAAGCTTAACAAGAAATATAGAAGAAGAAGAAGCATTAAACTACCTTTTCTGCAACAATTCGATCTCCAACATCAAATGTAGGATACATTGACAACGAAGGAATATACCTCGGCTCGGCCACAAAAGACCGAAACGCAAGCGAGATTGCCAGTGCCGCAAAGACGGTCTTTGCATCATCAGAAGTGAAATTTAACCAATCTGGCAAAGGCCCCGGAGACTCATCTTTTTTCTGCGCGTCCCTATCACCGCCACCATCACCGCCGTTACCATCACTCCCTCCGCCATCATCGCCGCCCCCGGAGTCCAAAACAACCTTAGTTTCTTCGCCGGAATCCTTCAAAGCATTGCAATTAATCTTCCGGCAATGGGGTCTGCAGTTCTGGACTCTCAAGCAAAAACCGTTAGTTAGGGTTATGGAACGTGGGTGGAAATTGAAGGGGCTAATAGGTCTGAAGAAGTGAATTGGGTCCCAAGTAGGGTTTTGAAGCGACGACAATGGAGGAAGGATATTGAAAGACGGCATCTCTGCTAGCCCTGAGTAGAAAATTGGGATTTAGCTGTGATATGAATATCTTCAGCTTCTGTCATGATCCAACATCCTCATATCCCAATCAGAATGGCGTCTCAGCTGTGGCCCCCGCTTGTGCTTAAAACTACAAATATGATCTTAAAATAATCTCACTGTGATAGATTTATGAGGATATTCAATTCAATCAACACAAGTTTTTTGTTTCTCGAGCCATGGAAGCAAAGCACAAAATTTGATTCCTCGAGAAACACACAGTTACTTGGCTTGCATTGCAAGTTAGACCACTATTTTTATGCATATCTTCTCAAAATCAAAGATAAATCGTTGTGCAAAATGAAAAAGGAAATATGTGAGAAAGTGATCAGAATCATCTTCATCAGTCCAATATTCCTCCAATGGAATGCAGAGGTGGTCTCAAAAAAAAATAATAATAATAACTAGTTTGACAGTTTGTACTTAAAAAAAAAAAAAAAACATGAGTTGCACTTGCATGTTGCAAGCTTGCATTCCAATTGTGATAGATCATGGATCCCATTTAAAGCTCCACAATAGAGCATGCTTGTGTAGAGTTCGCTGGCTGCAATGGAGGAAACATTACAAATCAAAATGGTTAAACTAGATTTTATGTTTTAGATTTGATAATTTTAAAAAATATAGATTAATTTTCATTGTTAAAATTTAAAAGAGAATGGCAATTAAGACCTGCAGAAGAGAGAAAAAATAATTATTTAATTGTGCATAAATAAACTTTCAATTTTTTTGAACCTCGCTCCTATTTTTCTTCACTGCTATTCTCCTATAATTTAACATGAGCGGTTTAAATTTGTAACAGAAGATGCGTGGAAGAAAAACACAATGAAATGAAAGCAAGTTCATAACGGTGACTAAAAGTTGGTGAATGGGGTGGCCCAAAAACAAAAAACAAAAAAAAAAAAACAGTGAATGGGAGCACTATTTTCATGTCAATGGAAGGATATAAAAAGGGGGGTGGATTATATATCTTATACTTGTTCTTATTCTTATATTATTTATACACACACATATTACATAATATAATTATTTGTTACTGTTCTTCCAATCTTATAGTATTTTTTTTATATTATATAATATAATATTTGTACTGTTCATCCAAAGTTGGGCGAGCAATGCAAAATCTTTTTTTTTTTTTTTTGCAAGTTTAAGATCACGTGAGACTCACAAATTAAAGTGTGGGATTCATGATAAAAAAATGTTGGTTAATATGATATTCATATTAAAAATAATAAATATGAGATATTATTTATTATTTATGTTTTGAATACAAATAATAATATCTTAAATAATAAATTATTTTTCATTTTTTTAATATACACAAGTGAGAAATTTATATATGCACACTATGCATGGGTATCTTATTTATGTTTTCAATATGTGCATGTGTAAAAAAATTTTAAAACAAAACAAGCTTAAAGTTTATTTTATGTATAGGTAATATGTAAATTTTAAATTTTAAATTTTAAAATAAAATATTATTTCAAAATGAAAAATTATAAAATAGAATATGTTGTTATTTAAATTTTAATTTACATGGGAAAACACATGTGATGCAAATTATTTATTATATTTGTCATACACGCATATGTAAAAAATTATAAAATAATTTATGTTGATAAATTTATTTTCATGTTACCCCTCCTAAACTTCTCTTATATATTTTTTATAAATACTACTATAATATCGATTATATTATTTGCTTAATTTAAAATCATTATTATTCATAAATACTACTCTTATATACTATTTATAAATAGTACTACAGTTTCAAATATTTTATTTTCTTAATTTAAAATCATTATTATATATAAATAATTTTAGATTAAAGCATACTCTCCATTTAAAAATATAAGATATTTTTTAAAAAGTTAAATGTTAAAAAACATCAGGCATTTTTAATGTTTGAAGATATAATTAATGTGCTTTTTTTAAAAGGACCTATAATAAAGAAATCATTTTATATTTATTTTAAAATAAATATTCCTGTTAAATGAGAATAAATATGAAAAGATAGTGTTAATTTAAAGATAAGTAATTATTTTATAAAAATAATATTTAATTAAAAATATCTTACATTTTTTAAAGGAGAGAATATTTTTATTTTTAAACTTCATATAAAGTTTGATTTTGTTCTTTTAATTTTGTAAAGTACTTTTTTAGTCATCTAATCCTAACATCATTAGGTTTAAATAATTATTTTTATATTAATCATTCTTATTTTAAAAAAATTAAACTTAACATGTCAATTTTGTTAATATTTAAGAGTTTAATGTATGAATTTTTTTTGTTAATAAACCTAAGGTGTTACGGTTATAGGACTAAAAAAATAATTTATAAAATGAAAATCTTATGTAAGTAGACTTTAGCTATATTATTATGACATAAATTATAGTATATGATTTATTACAATACATGTTTTATTTCTTTTTCGCAATGCATGGGCCAACAAATTTTAAGAGAAAGTAAGCTAATTATATTTTGTAGGATGTGAGGAATTGAAAATTGTATATTCTTTTAATGTGCATAAGGATAACATATTACAAAATAGAAATTTTTGCTCAGATTTTAATTTATGCATAGCAAACCATGATAGAACTAATAATATTTGTTGGAGGAAAAATTTTCTTCTTAGATTAATTATCGGGGCTCGAAGTTAGTAAAAAATTATTTTTTTAACTTGATTTCAAAATTTCCCAACACATTATTCACAAGAAACCTAAAAATGGGGCTAAAAATTAAAATTTATCTAAAAATGGGGCTGAAATTGATTTTAATATTAGATAAAAGTGTAAAAAAGAAGTAAATATGCAACCCACTAATTTTTTTTCTAAAATTTAATTTACCTAAAATAACATTTTTTAAATTAACTAATTTGTTTCTTGCATTTTTTATATGCATGATAAATTATAGAGTAAAATATAAATTTAAATCAAAAATTATAAAATAATCTATTGTTTGTATTTTCATATGTTTAAGATAAAAAATTTTAATTTTAATTTACATGGGAAAACACACATTCTAGAATAATAAATTTTTTTATATTTTTAATTTATGGGTATAATAAATTCTATATATTTTTTAATATTCACGTGGCATATTATTTATATTTTTAATGTGCATGGGATAAAAAATTTAAAAATGGAATAAGTTGTTGTATATATTTCTAATACATACAGGGCATAGTAAATTCTAAATTAGAATATGTTATTTTTGTAAAATTTTTAATTTATGTATATATAACACATAAATTTGAAACTTTAAAATTAAAAAATTATAAGATAGAATAGGTTTTAATTTTATTATTTTTGGGTAATAATATATTAGATTTAATTATAAGATAGAACAAGCATTAATTTTAATTTACGCGGGAATAATAAATTCTTGAAAAATAAATTGTTCTTTATATTTGTTAAATGCATAAGATAATAAATTATAAAATAATTTGTGTGGGAATGAAATAAGTTATTGTTTATATTTTTAATGTGCATGAGGTAGAAAATATATTGTTTATTTTTAATATATAAAAGTAGAAATATGACTTGAAATCCCATAGGAAGCATTATAGTAATTATATATTTTTGAATTAATTATATAATGTTAATGAACTTATCTTCTATAGTGCACATTATAAACTTGACTAAATTGGCTCAATGATCATGAAAAATATAGTTCCCATAAATTATGAACCATGTTCTTGAATATTTTGAATATGGCCTATTTACAAAGTCAATTAGAAGTGATTTTTTTATCCACAATACAAATATATTATTAAAATTTTTTATATAAATTGATTCACGAATATAACTCTTATAGCTAACTAAATAATTTTAACCTTTAACTAACGAAATTAAATTTCTACACACACGTCCATCATATCTATCCCCCTTTCATAATAATTTCTTTCCTTTTTTGGTGGGTGGAGGAATTAATGTGATATTCACAAATTGCTTTCTTGTTATTCTAACAAGAGCACTCTTCTGTAAGAAACGCCCCTATGAATAGTTCAATTTTGTGCATCTACAAACAAGTCTCACTAATAGGGTTCCCTACACAAAGATGAATGTAAACCTAGGACTTTCATTGCATGTAAGTATTTGATTTTCTATGATAAGTTAAAATGTTCAAAATTTTTTACAACTTGTGTTTGATTTATTTTGGACAAATAATTATATTTGTTCATGTTCTTAATCCACAATAGTATATCAATAATATACAATTATATATCAGTAATAAATCATATCAATGAAAACTTATTAATGCCACTTAATCTTGTAAATATGGGGATGCTTAATCTTGTCATTTCTTATGATAAAAAATAAAATTTATTAGTTTAAGTATTTAATTTTTTGTGATAAGTTAATATATATCCAGAATTTTTTACGACTTATACTTGATTTGTTTTAGGCAAATGATTATATTTTTTTTTGTTTCTGATCCACAATAGTATATCAATAATATACAATTGTATATCACTGATAAACTATATTAATGAAAACTTATCAATACTATTTAATTTTGTAAATATGAAAATGCTTAATCTCATCATTTTTTTTTCAAAAGAAAGTCAAATAAAAGTCTCTTCCATCTTCAAGTGTTTGAAAGAAAGTTTTTATCCAAAAAAAAAAGTATTTAAAAGAAGGTCTTATTATTTGCAAAGTGGATAATTTTGTCATATAAAGCTCAACAAAAGTAAGGCTACTTATTAGGTTTGGTTCTATAAAATGAACTATATATGCAAAAGCCTCTAAAAACTTCTAATCATTGTTTTTCTTGTCATAGGCATGCATATGCCGCATAAATAGTGCTATAATATCAATATGGATTATGTTATTTGCTTAATTTAAAATCATTATTTCATGAAAAAATATTTTTTTATCTATTTTTAGTTTTGACTATAATTGTAATTTATAAATAATATGATGACAAAAATAATAGTATATGGTTTATTATACTACATGTTTCATTTTTAAAATTGTTTATTTAATTTGTTTCATTTGTATAAGGGCAATATATTTCAAGATAAAAATTGTTATTTAGATTTTAATTTATACAAAAATAACACATTTTTAAATAAAATAATTTATTATTTATATTTTTTAAAATTTATTATTTATATTTTTAATATGTATGAACAAAAAAATTTAAAATAGAATAAATTTTAATTTACATAAAATAAAAAAATTTTACATACACTCAAATAAGTTATTGTTTTTAAATTGGTATAGTTCTATCTTATTTTTATCTTTTAAGTTTTAAAATGTCATGTACATTGCACAAGGAATAAATATAGTTTTTGCAAAAATAATATAATGAGTGACCATAAGTTAAAAATATTTTTAGAACTGCATGATATAAATTTTTGTAATAGTTACATGAAATCCAATACCACCGAATTAGATTTAAGTATTACCAAATCCAATTATAAGAAGTAGTTTTTTTATTGTGACTTTTTCAGTCACACCCTGGATCAACTTGCTCAAGGGTAATTGAATCCTGTCCAGTTTCCACTTAACTAAATCACCTCTTTGGTACTTGGTAAAACTTTTATACATTACATGTTGCTAAAAAAATTATAAATATACCACCTTTTATTTAAGTCCTTGTCTCTAGAATCAAATCTTAGGATGAATAAGGCCTTTTATGAGAACTAATAGTCTCAAGTAGATGCTGAAAACCCAAGTTACATAGCTAAGGGTGCATTGGGCCCAGAAGGCCCAAAGAACTACGCAATGTTGTTAAATTTTGTACCATGTCTAAATGGGACTTTCCAGGCCCAGTGGTTTCGTTCTTCAACAATGTTATTGAATAATTGATGGCTTAAAAAGAACCGTAGAAAGTTTTTGCCAATTTGGTCCGTTCTTTAACATGCAAATGCCATCCAATAGAATTCAAGAAATCACAAGATAAAGTTTGAATCCCCACTTTGAAAGTTGCTCATATTTACTGGCCCGACTGTGCATTGAACAAGCTAGCCTCCAATTAGAAGACACCTGTGCACAATAAAAAAGAAGAAGAATTTAAAAAATTATGCCTTCTATTTTCCAATGAATAATTTATTTGGAAGAGAGTATTCTTTTCAATTTTTATTATAAGTCAATTTCAACTACTTCAGGCAATTAACTCAACATTCAAGAAGCAATATAAAGCAATAAATTAGAGTTAACTTCTCATTTTAGAAATTTGTAATAGGGGTAAAATTAAAGAATGTTAATTAATAATCCTCTATATTACCTATATTAAGGATTGATAAATTTTCTAAAAAGCATTCTATAATAGTAACAGGAGAGAGTACTTAAGTAGCAACATGAGATCACCACAGCTTCTAAAGCAGCTCTTCTGCCTTCTATAGTTGTTTTGCTTCAATGATATCTCCTGACATTCATTCAATTCCAATTTAAAACTCCAATTTTATCACACACGCATACATGGGTATGTCTACGCATGTTACTCGTTATGAGCATTTAAAAATTACTTGACACTGAGCTCCATAGGTGACCACGCCACGTCCATGTGCAGGCCAACCTACTTTACAGGTCATCTACCCTAGAAGCATTTGGTAGCATAGTGTTCAACTTGAAGTCCACTTTTTACTTTCTTTATGCAGAATGGCATGTGCCTCTAATATGGCGTGGCACTTTTGTCCCTCGTCAAACCTGGACTGTCTCGTCCCTTTTCAATGATTCTATGCCTGTGGCTAAATACTTAACCATTTCTGTCCCTCTGAAAAGGGCATACCTTCCTCTTCATTTACTACATTTTAGCATCCAAGGAGGTACAAAGTCAACATGGCGTAATGAGCCAGAGATCACACACATCTAATCTACTACGCCTCAAGCATTTGCAAGAAATAGCTTCTGCTGCAAAGTTATTTTCCGATACTGTCACCGTTGAGGACTGAAAATGTAGCTATTATTTTTCGGGCCAGATCAGGAGAGAAATCATTGTTTTCTTACAAATCAGAAGGGAATGGTGATACTATTAATTTGTTTGGGATTGACAAGATCTAGGAAACTTGCCCCATGTGAAATGTTTGAAATCAACAGGCTAACAACACCAACCCTACCCACAATTCCAACAACCAGCAATAATGACAGTTGAACAACAGCCAAACAAACAAATGAAAAAATGGAACTTCTGTTTTATTTGATTTATAATTAAAAACCTTACGGATACAATTTTTTAAAAAAAAAAAAACAAGTTAACTCACTCAGAATGTCAGTCAAGAAACCAAAGTGAGACTGACAGGAGTATAAAAAGGAAGATATAGATGATTTTATACAAGTTAAACGGAATAGTTGTTACGAATTTCCACTGAAACCTTGGCTGTTCTTCATCTTTCTCATTTCCATTTCCCTCGTTGTCTGGCGACTCTGGCCTTCACTGCTTGAGCCAGAAGGGTACAACCCATACTCACTCGTGGGTGGTCCGCTGTATTCACTGCTGGCACCATACTCATTGGTTCCTCCTCCATACGCCACTTTTCTGAACTTTTTCATGTCCTCCTTGTATTGAGCTGTGTCATAATCTGAACTTCCATGAGAGCTGTAGACAGAGCTATGGCCCGGCTTAATGCCCTCGTTAAGGTCTGCTAGAGACACATCTCCTTCTAGAGCGCGAACAACCTGTGATGATTTCGAGTCAGACACACGAGAAGCATTCTTGCATGTAACAGACAGTAATACGAACAAATAACAGACGTTGAGATAGAAGCTTGATGAAATTACACTACAGCGGGAGTCAATATTATGTAGAAAATTTTCCAGCGAAACGCTTAATGACAAGCTATGTAGAAGAGTAGGATGATAGATACCAAAGTAGTGCCTATAGAAAAACACAGCTTGCTTTTCCACACAAAATTGCACTATATATAAGTCAATCAAAAATTGGGTTGACATGCTAACACATGAAAAATCATTAGGGAAAAAAAAAACCTGGTCAAATTACCTGGCTCATCCTTGGCCTGCGTTTTGCTGAATGGCGTATGCAAGCTGCAGCGCATGCCACCATACGAGCCATCTCATTGAGGTCATATTCATGTTGGAGCCTTGGATCAACCACAGAATCGAAATTTTCATCTTCCAAAGCACGAGTAAGTACAGGCCTTGCCTGCGATGACAAAGATACAGTTAAAGGCTATTCCATGGCCCTTAGATGAAGAAAAGAACAGGAAAAACCTTTCTTGTTGACTATGAGTTTATGATTGCAAATTTATAAACTTAGGCCCAGATTATAGAGGCTGTACTCAGCTTACCCAGTCTACCAAACTATCCTCCATAAAAGTTTGACTTGAATCAACTGGTCGGCGTCCAGTAATTAACTCCAAAAGCATAACTCCAAAGGAGAAAACATCTGATTTGTCCGTGAGTTTCCCACTAGAAGCATATTCTGGAGCCAGATAACTGCAAGCAGCAAGTAGTGAGAGCTTGAAACAATGCCAAATAACAGATGCAAACAAATAGCTTATTTATCTATTTTTTTCTCTTGAGGTTCTTGGGAAGAAAGAAAGAAGTTGTCTTACCCAAATGTCCCCATCACTCGAGTGGAAACATGAGTATTAACATCAGATGTAAACTTTGCAAGTCCAAAATCTGCCACCTGCCAACATAAAACAACAAACCATAGAACACATAAGCCCCAGTAAATAAAGTTAGGATCAAAAAAAGAAACATGAAAAAACATACCTTTGCTTCAAACTTAAAATCCAAGAGTATGTTAGAAGCTTTGATATCACGATGGATGATCTTAGGATGACCTGTACACACAGATATTCCAATTAACATTAAAATTGAGATGATTCAGTTTCTGCTGATGAAATTAAAGTCAAATGCATAGCACATACAATCCTCATGAAGATAAGCCAGTCCTTTTGCTGATCCTAAAGCAATTTTTAGTCTTGTGGGCCAGTCCATGGTAGGCCTCCCTTTTCCTGCAGTTCAAACACCCATCAGATACCAGCTGCCAAAGTCACTATGCCACAAAACAGAAGTACTTGCAGCTCAATTTCAGCTTAAAAAGGGTTTTTCCCACAGAAAGGGAAATGAGATGTACCGTGCAAGTGAAACTCCAATGTATTGTTGGGAACAAATTCATAAACAAGCAACCTCTTTGTTCCAGTAATGCAGTATCCAACCAGAGAAACAAGATGTTTGTGATGAACCCGACTAATGATCTCAACTTCAGCTTGAAACTCACGCTCCCCCTGGCCACTTCCAGCCTTTAGCTGCTTCACAGCCACCTCCTTTCCATTCGGAAGAATGCCTCTATGCACGTAACCAAATCCACCTTGTCCAAGGAGGTTGGCATCAGAGAAGCCATCTGTTGCTCGGGCTAGCTCCTCATATGTAAATGTACTCTTCGAGAAACCCAGTGCAAAGCCAGGAGAAGGAGGCGGGAGAATGTTTTCACTGCCTGAATAGTTAGAGCCAGACCCACCACTGCTGCTTATGAAAGCTGGTGGTGGCGGTGGAGGAGCATAAACGGGTAACTGGGCAGGCCGTGATGCAACTGGTGGTGGCGGGGGCGATGGCTTTGGCATTACTGAGACCATATGATCTGAAGGAGGGGGAGCATTGTGTTGCCATTGACGCTGTGGGCCACCATATGGATCAACTGGCAATCGTGAAAAAATTGGTATGCAATCAATCATAAACATCATCAGACAAAAATGTAGCGAAAGCAGGATGAAACAGAAGTCATTTCTTCATAATAACAATGAATTCTCATCAGAAAATAAACTCAACTAAATCACCGCGCAGATGAACAGATATAGTTATCTTTATATAGCCGTAAGCTGTATTATGATTTATGAGTAAGTATGAACTCAACCAAATGCGTGCTGAAGCCTGAAACATTAATATTAAAACTGATCGAAGTGTAAAAATCTGCGATTGTGTTAAACGACAAAAGATTCGATTTAAATCCTCGGACGCTGGGGATTAATTTTACGGGGTATGATCAGATCCCGAAAGAGAACACCAATGCGAAGGTCAGTTTTAAAATTGAGGAAAGAACTGAACAAAGCGCGTGACCATAAAGAAATAGCAGTAGCTGAGGAATTCTGATTCCTGCCTAATTCGAACTGAATCAAGAAGAAAATGAATTCAAATAAATATACTTTACATAATATATAAATATAAAAAAGGTCTCACCTTTGGGTCCCTGAGGAGGTACCGGCGGCGGCACATAGTATTCCTCATCGCGTCTTCTCTTTTTCTTTCTACAGCAAACGCAGAGAATACTTAATACAAGAAGGATCGCCACAGCCCCTACAGCGATTGCGACAACAACGCCAGTTGATATATTACTCGACGAGGACGAGGAAGAAGACGGAGACGGCGGCGTTTTTGACGACGGTGGTGGGGGACTTCGATTCGGAGTCGAAGGCGAATTTGAGCTCGACGGAGGCGGCGGCGAGCTCCGACTCGGCGGACTCGGTGGAGAGTTGCTACTGGACGGTGGAGAAGGCGACGCCGGAGATTCCGGTGGTGGCGAAGTCGACGGCGTGGAAGAAGACGGAGGGGAAGGAGAAGGTGGGCTCAGAGAAGGCGTAGCTGGGGGTGGAGGAGAAGCCGAAGGAGTCGCCGGCGGTGGAGCAGGGGGTGTAGCTGGCGGTGGCGCGGAAGGAGTGGACGGTGGCGGAGCTGAAGCAGCGGGCGGAGGAGAGGTAGCGTTGGATGCCGGCGCTGGCGGCGACGTGGGCGCCGGAGCAGCTCCCGGGGACGGTGTCGCTGACATTGCTTAAGAAGAACTAAGAATCCGAAAGCAAAACTGAAAATTTAACCCGCGATTACTGGCCGAAACTGTGTCTCTTTCACCCTATGTGAAGTTGAGACGCAGAGAGAGGGAGAGAGATTGGAGAGAGAAGAAGGAAGGAAGTAGCAAAGCAGAAAGAGAGCGTTTCCGGTTTCACACCTCCATGCTTTTGGTTTGTTTTTTTTTTTTTCCCTTTTTTTTAATTATCCGGGGATCAGTGACGTGGGACCCACGCGAAGCTAGCCGCGTTTCTTACGCAGTTACGGTGGTCGTTTTGGATTCGCACATTCTGTTTGTCTGTTGGGTCATTGGTCCATCTCGACGGTTCTTTTTTTTTTTTTTGCCCCTTGTTCTTTTCCCTACGCAGTTTTTTTTTTTTAATTTTATGCCTTAATAATTTTTTATACCTTGTTACTATTTTAATTGCTGATAAATATCACAATTGTAATAGTTAACAAATTTAAGAAATTATGTGTGCTTTTAATTTTTATGAAAAAAAATTAGATAAATTAAGTTTCATGAACTTAAAAAACTTAAATTCATATCTTGAAATGAAAAAAAAAAGCTTGGAGAAATATTTATAAATAATTCATATTCTTACATTATAACCACGATCTTAATTCACACAAAAATACTTTTTAATTATTTATATCCCCTCATATATGACAAAGACTTGAACTGATATCTCATTAGTTACTCCTTTCGTGCAGTATTATAAAGTATTTTTACTTAAAGTACATCTTAATAAATTAGTTAATTATTTTTAAAATCATACATTTTTTATATTTATTTTTATTTAATTGGGCTTCTTAATTAAAAAAATTTATTAGCTACACCCCTAATCAAAAAAAAATTTGAAAAATTTTACTAATTGCATCTTTAAAAACTCAAAATTTTTTATATTTTTTATATATAATTATTTTAAAAATACTTTATGATATTGAATTCAAGAGTATGAGTTTAATTCAGGTGAATTTTTGTTGGCAATATATAATTCATATTGGAATTCTGAATTTTTTTTATCCTTGTTGCATTAAAAACAATATGATTTCCATTTCTCACTTAATAAATAAAAGGTTAATAAGCATCTTAAACTATAAATTGTTACGCAAATAGCATCGTGGATCTTGAAATGTTACGCAAATAGCATTGTGGATCTTGAACTTATGAAATGTGCAAAAGATTTTTTCAACTTTTGAATTTCAAACGTTTGAAATCTCGTATTAAGTTGGAGGAAATGTTCACTTTTATAATTGTGAGACCTAATCACACATTAATGTGGCACTCATTTTAAACTTTAAAAATAAGGGCCATTGTATTAAATTTAAAGGCAAGGTTTCAAATACTCAAAATTTAAAAGTTGACGGAAGTTAATATTCAATATATTATTTGTGTAATAATTTAAAATTTATGTTGCTTGTTAACTCATAAATGAAATCATTTGATGGAAAGTGAATATTTGATTTCATACGTATCATGAAGGTTTTTTCAAGAATATAAATTGCAGAAAAATCAGATCCAGGTTTTTGTCTTAAAAGGCAGGCAAGCATTGTCATTTTAAGAGTTTTTTTTTTCTTTTATAAAACCTTGAGAATAATTGCACAATGATTAATATTCTCAAAGCATACGATTGCCTTCTCGTGATATTCTCCTCTTGATCTGTCACATTAATTCTAAGTGGTTGGAATATTAATTAAAAATGGAATGAAGATTTCTCATTTGCGCACAAATCACGCATTCCTTTTTTTATTTTAATTTAATAATTTTGCTACTTCAAATAATGTTTACAAGATAATTATATTTTGATAATTTGGATGAAACACCTGAAAGAATATTTATAATTAACTTGACTAAATTCTTGCATGAGTCCAGTTTACTACATCATCTATATTCTATCTAATAAAAACATATATTGATAAAAAAAATTCTTACATAAACCCGGTGCACTATGTAATTCAGATTTTATTCAGTAAAAACATATCATTCAAATTACTATAAATATAAATCAATTTTATCATTGATGATAGTAAAGAAAGAAAATGAAAAAATTAAATAGATATTCTATTATAAAATAAAATTATTAAAAATAATGATACATGAGTTTTTATTTAATTAAATTGATGTAATTTTATTAGATAGAGTATGAATAATGTGGTGTAGTGGGTTCATGCAATAGGATGTAATGTTGTTGTGGTACAGAATTGCATTAATGAAGGCGATGAGGTTATGAATTTATTAGTTAATGAAAATGGAAAAAAATTGAAACCCATGAAATTGGTTATCCTCAAACGAAATTGAAGGCTTTGTGAATAACAAGACAAGCCATAAAGAAGACAAATAGAAAAAAGTAATGTTCTGATTCTCATTACAGTTGGCTATTCATCCGTTGAGCATTTTATAAATCTGAAAGCGAACGTAATTAATTATTAGAATTATTTTTTTATGTACTATAATACTTCAGATTTAAAATATAGAAGTCAGTCCACGTAGGATGCTTTGCTGCGTGAACCATGGTAGAAAATTGGTACGGAAGAACATGCCCCTTTTTTGTTCCTTCTTAATTAAAAAATGAATTTCAAAATACTAGAAATAAATAAATATTTTGAAATAAGCTTTAAAAAATTGTAGGAATAAATTTGTGCTGATACTTTATGGTTGTCACCCATATTACACTTTTCTCTCTTTTTTTTTCCTCTCACTTTTTTCCTATTTTCTCTCGGTAGCCAAGCACCACGTTACATGTTTTTAAAGCTATAAAGAGTTATTTTTAATGTCACTAGAATATTTTAAGTTTATTATTATTGTTAAATAATTACACCCCCAAAAAATTTGGGGTGCTCAAAATAAAGTTTAAAAAAACTAAAAGTGGTCATTTAAAAAAAAAGATACCAGTAAAAATTTACTATTATAGTGTTTTACTATTTTAGAATAAGTTATAACTGTTAAAACAATTAACCAGTAAAGTAAACTAATTAAGTTACAAGAGAAAACAAACTGTTAATTCCTTAAATATAAAGAGAAATAAACTATATCTTTACTATAAAAATGGTTATATTTAGCTAAACTTGTGGATTTTTTTATCAAAGATATTTGGTTTAACCAGTCAAAAAAATTAAATTAGTTTAACATGAATTTCAGGTTCAAGTTTTGAAACATGTAGTTGTATTAAATAATTATGTTAAATACATCAAAATACTTATGAGGCGAGCGATGGAATCAAAACTCACTACTCATTTAGAAACAAACGACGGATCCTACATATTATTGTGCTATATAGCATAAACATCACAAAAATGAATATAAATTGTTTGGTGATATATAATACAAAAATTAATTAAATATTTGTTGTGCAAAAGTAAAAGTCTAATTAATTGATTAGTGAACCAGTCTCTTAATTGATTTAGTTAAGAGTTTTGAACGGGTCAATTGGATTGGATTTTATATTTTTTTCATTCCCTTACTTAGCCTAAAATGATATCTTTTTGAGATTAAAAAAAAATGTCATCGATCATATTTGTGTGTTTAATGACTCTCCTTTGTTGGATTAAGTGCAATTTATGCATAAATGTTTCATTTACTGGATTGGATTAATGGATAAATATTACCCTTTAGAGTTATATATAAATATTTTTATATATTTTAATTAAATTATATTATTTTGATTATAATTAAATTGACCTGGTTTAATTATGATTGGATTAATTACTATTGAACTAGTCACTTGACGGGTTAAACGACGGATCTGGTTTTCATTATCTTAGCTGTGATCATGAATGAATAAATTGAATTTGCAAGAGCAGAAATATATGTGTGTTGTCAATTCCAGATCTCTCAAATTTTTAAAACCAGAAGCAGAAGTCAAAGAAATAAAATTTTTGGGGTTTGAAAATTCGCTGCGCAATTCCCTTTGTTCCTTATTTTCATACTAAAGCCGGAGAAACCACCGGCAAGATCTGTGCATTATTTACGATCATTTAGAATTATGTAGCCCATATATATAATCGATCAAAATATATGTGTGTGTGTGTGTAAATCGATCAATCAATATAATATATAAACAGAAAATCGCTCGTAGTTAATTATTTATATTTTTTTGTTCATTTATGTTTACTATAGCCTATAGGTGCCTAGGTGGGGTTCCTTCAAATTTAAATACCTGTGCATTTATTTGATCTCCCTTTTTGAATATGAAAAAAAAATTATGGCTAGTCTATTTATTTTTATTTATAAATAAAATTATAAATTTTAAGTAGTACATTCTTAAAATTATTATTTATAAAATTAATATATATTTTTACTAGATAAATCTTTTTAATTAATTAAAAAATAATTTAATTCCAATTTTTTTAATTTTAGATATAAACATTATGTTTAATTAATTCTTTTTAAATTGTGTGAATTGATTATTATTTTAATATATTTGAAAATAGAAGGAATATTTTTTTAGTTTTGAAATTGAAAACAACCATGTTATATTATTTATAAATAATATAACTCATTTTATTATAAAAAATGGGATAAAAGTAAAAGTTAACTCTTAAAGTATTCTTTGAGTTTCACCATCATCTTAAAATATTGGTTGAAATAATTTTATTTTTGAAGTAATTAAAATGAAACATTTTTATCTTCTTATCAATTTCTCAACATTAATTGTTAGAAAATACTAATTGAAATTTCAATATTGACTATTAGGAAATTTTACGACAAAAACAAAAGTACTTCATTTTAATTATTTTAAAAATAAAATTATTTTAATTAATAATTTAAGATGTTGGGTGCTCCTTAAAGAATATTTTAAAGACAAAAATATACATGTATCTTAAAAAAATCATATACTAATGCAAGGAAGAATGTATTTAATTGTTTTAATGCCAGAATGCTCAGAGCTGTGAAAACCAAAACCAAAGGCAAATAAGTTAGAAAGTGGTGAATATGAAAGCTAGTTGTGCAATCCCATTTATTTACTATTTTCATGCTGTCACGAGTAAGTTTAACCCCTCATGATTGAGTCAAACATTAGGTAACCGTTTTTAATATTTATTTATATATTATATAAAAAAATTGAAACTTTTTTTTTTTTAATGCAGTGGCTGTTACTCTAAGTAAGAGCCCAAACAAACCAGCTGGGTGCCAATAAGTAACCCCAATGCACTTC